AAAACAGGATCTAAATATATGCACTTTATAAGAAACTCACTTCACATATAAAGACACACATAGACTGAAAATAAAGGGATGGAAAATATATTCCACGCAAATAGAAACCAAAAAAGACCAGGAGTAGCTATACTTCTAAAAGATAAAATAGATTTCAAGACAAAAATTGTAAAAGGAGAAAAGGAAGGTCATTATATAATGATAAAGGGACCAGGTCAACAAGAAGTTATAACAATTCTAAATATATATGCATCCAACACTGGAGTACCCAGATATATAAAGCAAATATTATTAAAGATAAAGAGAGTGATAGGTTCCAACACAATAACCGTTGGAGACCTCAATAACCCACTTTCAGCATCGAACAGATTATCCAGACAGAAAATCGACACAGAGATATCAGACTTAATCTGCACAATAGAACAAATGGACCCAATATATACTTATAGAATGTTTCATCCAAAGGCAGCAGAATACACATTCTTCTCCTCAGCACATGGATCATTCTTAAGGATGGACCATATATTAGGCCACAAAACAAATTTTAAGAAATTGAAGATAACTAAAATCATATCAAGTATTTTTTCTGAGCACAATGGAATAAAATGAGAAATCAATAACAAGAGAAACTTTGGAAATTCTACAAACACACGGAAATTAAACAACATACTCCTGAATGACCAGTGTGTTAATAAAGAGATTAAGGAGGAGGGGAGGAGCCAAGATGGTGGACGAGAAAAGCTGCAAGTCAGAATGTCTCTGCAAAAAAGATGAATTTTAGAAGAAAGAGAAAAAAATAAACTAGCAGAGAAACATAGATCGGGTGAGGGTCGGAAGGAAGGGTGCCTGAAACTACAGGAGACTCCATGGGAAGATGTTGCGGAGGAGAACTGGAAGGAGAAAGGTCCCGAGAGGCTTGGAGAGCAGCGACAAGGGTAGGTGGAGCGGTTAACTGCCCCCTCCCTTGCATCTCGGACTGCTGGTGGCTCTTGAGCGGCTGGAGAGACCTGCTGACACCAGCCCAGAGACGGCTGATGCCAGTGAGCAGTGGCCTCTTGCGGACACGGCGCCGGGCCCCCAGCTCCCTCGGGGCACCTCCCTGCGTGCAGACCTGAGCCTATCAGCAGACGCCACATGGCTCCGTTCTCTCCTTCCCCCTCCCTGCC